TGTCGGGGGGGAAAATGGCGGCGGACCACGTGTCAGGGGCGGAAAATGGCCACGGACCACGTGTCGGGGGGGAAAATGGCGGCGGACCACGTGTCAGGGGCGGAAAATGGCCACGGACCACGTGTCGGGGGGGAAAATGGCGGCGGACCACGTGTCAGGGGCGGAAAAATGGCCGCGGACCACGTGTCGGGGGCGGGAAAATGGCCGCGGACCGTGTCACGGGAGGGGAAATGGCCGCGTATCCTGCTCGTACCCCGAGGCGGAGTTCGCAAATCGAGGTAAATTTTTGTGGCCGGAGCTGGTCGTAACCCGAAAAGTTCGTTAACAGAGGCGTTTGTAACCCGAGGGACCACTGTATTTCCCTGGCTATTGTCAGGACCTCAAAGCAAGCAAAATTGAGCCATCTATACCAGCACCCTGGTTCTCACAGCAGACATCTAAGGCAGGACACACAGACACACCGGGTAGCCGTCCCGCTGTCACTCCCTCCCCTGCCCCCTTGGAGAGCAAGATATATTACTCCTGTACATGCAAGCTCTAATTCTTCCTGGTTGATTGCTAGGGTTGGGTATCAAACAAACAAACGAAGCACGCAAAAGATAATCAACCCAATGATGTTTTCCAGCCGCAGCAGACCTTCCTGGGTATCTTGAAGAAAATAAATTCCATCCTTCCACGTGGCGAGCAAAACACTTCCTCGTGAAAAGCGGCTGTTTTCAGCCCAGGACAATGAGCAAACAGTTTTACAGCAACAAACTTCCTTTAATCTCGGCGTGCCTTCCTGAATTGGATCAATACACAGTCCCTGCCTTCTAAAAGCAAAGCTGAGGAAGGAGAAGTTATTAAAAAGGAAAAATAAAGGGCTTTCAGAATCCAAGCAGCTTCACAATGGAAATGGGGATCTGCGTCAAAGTCGTATTTGGGGAAATCCAAGTTAAAGGAGAAGTGGGATTTTAATTTTGCACCCGGCCAGCTTTTCTTTAAAGCCGACAGCATCTTTGCCAAATATTAAACTCAAGGTGGGCAGGAATCTTGGTTGGTATAAAGGGAGGAACAACCTTCCCCATGCAAGTGGGGGGTCGAAGGCAAAAACAGAGGAGAGGCTTTCTGAGACTGACGCCAGAAAATTATGTTTGCCGGCTATTAAATGGGGCCTCCGGGCCAGAGGTATTGCAATTCTACTTTGCAAACAATTAATCCACACCTTGAACCAACAAAAAACAGGGCAAAACTTCAGCCAAAGGTAAAGAGATCTCTGCCACTTACTCCATCTTGACATTCTCTCACTAACCCACTTCTTAGGCATCCCCAGTGAAAGATCTCGCCTGGCCACGATCCCCTGGTAAAAAATCTCGCCTACCCACAATCCCCTGGTGAAAGATCTCACCTGGCCACGATCCCCCAGTGAAAGATCTCACCTGGCCATGATCCCCTGGTGAAAGATCTCGCCTGCCCATGATCCCCCAGCGAAAGATCTCACCTGGCCATGATCCCCTGGTGAAAGATCTCGCCTGCCCGTGATCCCCCAGTGAAAGATCTCACCTGGCCACGATCCCCCAGTGAAAGATCTTACCTGGCCATGATCCCCCAGTGAAAGATCTCACCTGGCCATGATCCCCCAGTGAAAGATCTCACCTGGCCATGATCCCCCGGTTAAAGATCTCGCCTACCCACGATCCCCAG